CAACGGGGCGGCTCTGCGCGGGCGCCCTATATGCGGGGCGCATCCCTGGGGTCGCGCACTGGGGATCCGGGCCGCGGGGGCATGGGTATGCGTACGTCTCTGTCGTTCGTGTCGTTCGTGAGGGACGGCCTCATCGCCCCCGTGCCAACTGACCCCCCGTGTCCAAGGAGGAGATCTATCCATCACCACCGCCCGGGGGATCGGCCCTCGAGGAGCTCGGCAGAGTGTCAGTGCCTCAGGCGGTGGATCTGGATGTGTCCCCGCCCCTGGCGGGCCCTGGAAACGACAGGACTGTTTTCCGTCCAGTTCCGTGTTGCAAGATTTTTTTAGTTCCAGCGCCGATTGTTGCCTTGTTCCATTACAGTTTCCTTCTCTGTGGTTCTGGATCTAAGCACGGAGCTGTTTTGTTCCCGTTTCCAGGAGCAGTCGCGTTTACCGTTCGGAGGTTCCAGAGACAGTCTTGCGACATGGAGGGAGGACAGCTCTGCCGTTTCAGGGGCCCACGTGAGCCCCCGCCGCGCATCATGCTCACCCCCGAGGCTCTTGGGGGAGCCGGGGGGGGTCGGTGCGACAGGAGGCGGTGGGGCCGCGCCCGGCGAGGGTCCCGAAGTCCGGGAAACAGAAGCCCGTCTTCCTGTACTACTTCCAGCACAACACGATGTGGCTGCTGGGGGAGAACTACAGGCCGCTCGCTGGAAGTCAGGGTCCGTCTCGATCCGAGCGATCCGGTTCCATGCCGTGTTCGGCCATCCTGATCGGGTGCGGTACCGACGCTTTGAGGGTCCGATGCGGTCCGAGGAGTGTACGGCTCCACCGTTCTTCTCGGCGCAGCTGATCTGATTCAAATCCGATTCTGTGCCGATGCAGCCCCATCCGACACATTCCGATTCGATCTGGCTTCCCGATTCGATGCCGACTGGTCCTGCAAGTGGGCACCCTGAAGGACCCCCAGACCGCTACTGCCCTCTGCGTCGGCCGCCCTCGATAATCGAAGGGAGGCCTCCTTCCGTTTTGCTTCTGCCCTGGGCGGACTCAAATGCAGTGTACCTTAGCCTGTAGCCGCCTTCCCTGAGATCCGACGCTGCGAACAATTTGCAGCGCCGCGAAAGACCCCATCCCCAGAGCCAGTTGTTCACTGCATTCTTAGCGACCAGATCGAGATGTGATGGTCCTGGGGCTCGAAACAGGATCAGAGGCAACGCCCGGGTCTCGGGGTTTGCTGCATGATGCGTCCACGCCTCCTGTCCCCGAATGACCCGCACAGCACCAACATGAACCCGGACGTGATCGCCTACGCGGGCAAGGAGGCGCAGTGCCCCAGGGACGCGGGCGCCTGGCACTTCCTGAACATCTCCGGCGAGCGGGCGATGCTCCCCGACGTCCACTGCCGCGAGACGCGCTTCGGGCCCAAGGATCGTGGACGAAGCAGCTGCACGACCATCTATCGGTGGTTGACAGAGCCCCCCACCCTGACACGTCGTTAAGTGGATTGTCCGTTGTTGGTTCTCGAGAGGGCGCCGCGGCCGTCATTTTCCTGGCTTGCGCCCGCCAGGTTTGGGCCCGAGGTCGTTCTCACTACGCCATGTTTTACCAAAGGGGGTTTTGTCCATCCCCGGATTCGGGTCACCCGCGGATCGAAGAAGGAAGTTCTTGGAGCTCCGCGCGGATTTGTGGGATCCGCGCCGGGCCTCCCTGGTGGCACCCTCGGCGCCACCCCTGGCGCCCTTCGCACGCCGGGGAGGGGGGACCAGCGTCTGATGGGCCGATGTTCCACCGCCACCATAGAGGAGGAGGAGGAGGAGGAGGAGGAGGAGGAGGAGGAGGAGGAGGAGGAGGAGGAGGAGGAGGAGGAGGAGGAGGAGGAGGAGGAGGAGGAGGAGGAGGAGGAGGAGGAGGAGGAGGAGGAGGAGGAGGAGGAGGAGGAGGAGGAGGAGGAGGAGGAGGAGGAGGAGGAGGAGGAGGAGGAGGAGGAGAGGAGGAGGAGGAGGAGGAGGAGGAGGAGGAGGAGGAGGAGGAGGAGGAGGAGGAGGAGGAGGAGGAGAGGAGGAGGAGGAGGAGGAGGAGGAGGAGGAGGAGGAGGAGGAGGGAGGAGGAGGAGGAGGAGAGGAGGAGGAGGAGGAGTCGAGGAGGAGGAGGAGGAGGAGGAGGAGGAGGAGGAGGAGGAGGAGGAGGCGATGGAAGAGGAGGAGGAGGAGGAATACCCCTTCTCCCCCGTCCTGCATGTGGTAGCGGTGGTGGAGCAAGTTTGCCCGTCGGCGTCAGTGCGTGGCAGCCGCGCGGGACTCTGGGCGCCCCCGCTGGCACTCGCGCCGCGCGCGCGTCGCGGCCAGGGCGCCAGCGCACGGCCGCCCCTCGGGGGCCGCCGCCGCAGCGCGCGGTGGCCCGACGACGACCGTGCGGAGCTGCAGCGGGGGCCCACGCTTAAGTCGGGCGCGTCCCTCCACAGGAGGATGATTCAAAGGTGGGCAAACCATTGTCTGGGGCCGATTTTTCGACAATCGTTTCAGTATCATTTTTTCGGAGGTTGATCGACTTTCTACCCTGAAACGACGATCAAGGAATTTGCCGTTTTCGGTTCGCGAGAGGGCGTTGCGACCGTCATTTTTGCGGGTCCAGGTCCGTTGGTTTCGGTCCCAGGCCGTTGTCACTAAGGGGAGGTTTATTTGTCCACCGCCGAATTTTGTACACAGCTGGGCTATTTTTCGTTTTTCGTTCAAAATTCGCCTGTAGGGAGGCATGCTCGGGCAGAGCCCACGCCAAGAAACACCCTGGTTGCCTGTTGGTCGTTTTCTTATCACTTGTTTTGCCGATCGGCGCGGGCCCTCGCACCCCTACCCCTGGCCCCCCCTGGTGGAGGGTTTCTCCGAAGGGCTTAGGCGACCCGTCCTCCTTTTCCTCCTCCTCCTCCTCCTCCTCCTCCTCCTTCTCCTCCTCCTCCTCCTCCTCCTCCTCCTCCTCCTCCTCCTCCTCCTCGGGTCGCCTGCGGCCCCAGGGGGAAGCCGTGCACCCCCCTGGAGCAAATCTCGCCTGCTCCTTGGCGCCTGCCTCGGGCAGGCGGAGGCTCCCCCCCCGCAGCACGCACCTGTGGCAAGCCGTCGCGCGCCAAGCAGAGGGCCGGAGCCAGATCCCCCCCCCCTCCCCTCCCCCACCTAGGAGGAGGAGGAGGAGGAGGCGGAGGAGGAGGAGGAGGAGGAGGAGGAGGAGGAAGAGGAGAAGGAGGCGGAGGAGGCGGAGCAGGAGGCGGAGCAGGCGGAGGAGGCGGAGCAGGAGAAGGAGGCGATGTATAGGAGGGGAGGAGGAGGAGGAGGAGGAGGAGGAGGAGGAGGAGGAGGAGGAGGAGGATGAGGAGGAGGAGGAGGAGGACGAGGAGGAGACGGGGGTCAATGCAAACGGGGGTCGGCCAGAGCGCCAGATCCTGCAGGATCCTGCGAAGGCCCCCTCTGGCTGACCCGGGTGAGCGAGCCGCTCGTGGCCGCGAGGCGGCCGCGCCTATCGGCTGACCCGGGTCTGCGAAGACCTGCGTTGCAGTTTTTTTCTTGCATTGCAGTTTTTGGTTTCCTGCTGACCCGGGTCAGAAGATCCCCGATCCCCTCCCCCACCTTGCCTCGACTAGGCGTGAGAGTGACCTTTCGCCGGAGTGACCTTCGGTGCGGGCACGGATGGGCCCCCGGATGGCTGAAAGAGCAGCGGCAGCAGCGGCCTGCGCGCTTGCTTTTTGGCCCCCCCGCGGTCCCCCAAAGCCGCGCACCACAGGTCACTCTTGCCAAGGGTCACTCTTGCGTGTAGCCGACTTGCGCCCAATGTCGATACGCCGAATAAGAAAGCGTTGGCCTCCAGGGCTTTGTGGGCCCCGGAAACGGCAGGGCCGTTTTTTCACCGTTTCCAAACAAATGTCCCTTGGACATGGAAACGGCAAAAACACGGCGACCAGAAACGGCAAACAAACGGCTCCAGGACTGGAACTGGAGCCGGACCCAGTCGAAAGACGGCGACGGAACCGGTAAAAAAACGGCGTCGGAACCGGCAACAAAAACGGCAACACAGAACCGTTAAAAAAACGGCCTTGTAGTTTCCAGGGCCCTTTAAGTTCCAGGGTGCCCTAGCTTTCTTGGGGTTCAGTGGTGTTGCTGTGAAAGGCGTGACGTTCCCGCACCAGGAATCCACAGGCGTCCTGGGGTCTCAGGGTCGGGTTTCTTGTGGAGGGTTTCTTGTGGCTGGGCCCCCGCTGCTAGGTTATCCGGGGACAAGGAGGTCCGCGCAGATTTTTCGGCCCCCATGGTGTTATGTCGGGCCTGTCCCCCTACAGGAGGATTTTCGACGAAAAATTAAAATATCAAAAAAGCCCCCCCAAAGGCCCAAAAATACAAACAAAAATAGTCCCCAGACTATGTTTGGACTACTTTTTGTAGCATGTTTGGGATATTTTTCATGTTTCGTCGAACATCCCCCTGTAGGGGGACAGGCCCGACTTACCCAGGTGCGCGAAGCGCGCCATGGCGGTGCCAGACGCGGCGGCAGGGCCGGGGCAAGCGGGCCCGGCGCCGACCCGAGAAGTCCGCGCGGAGTCTCGAAAGCCCGCGTCCACTCGGTGTCTCCGTGGCTCTGCTGAGGGGCACTGCTACGGGGGGAACCGAGCATTTTCTCGGGGTGGAGGGCAGAGGGGGAAGTCTGACATGCCGCTTCGATGGGTTTTCGAGGCTCGAATCTGCAAAGGGTGAATCACAGGACGGATGGATTTCTGAGGTGCCGGAGCCCATGTGGATTTCACCCTGAGCCCTCCACCCTGCGAAAATGCTCGGCAGAAGCTCAGGGGGGGGGGATGCATCGACCCTCCATCGCCCTTGGATCCCCCCGCCCAGGAGCGTGCGGTTCTTCGCTACCCGGAGCCTATCACTGATCTGTTGGCGATGTATAGGAGGAGGAGGAGGAGGAGGAGGAGGAGGAGGAGGAGGAGGAGGAGGAGGAGGAGGAGGAGGAGGAGGGGGGGATTAGGAAAGGGGCGGAAAGGCAGGAGGAGGAGGAGGAGGAGGAAGAGGAGGAGCAGGAAGAGGAGGAGGAGCAGGAGGAGGTTTCCCTCCTGAGCCGGCCCCCACCTAACATTGCCCCTTGTCGAGAGAGGACCCGGAGAACGTCGCCTTCAGCATCACCGGGGGGGGCTGGCAGCGCCAGAAGTCGCCGACCCACCCCAGTGCTGCCCTCGGCGACATGTCCGTCGGCGGCCAGGGGAGAAAGAGCGCCCCGACGCCGACGCCCTCCTCTCGCTCTTGCTCCTGGTGGGCCTCCACGGGGAGGGGGGGGTGGTCCATCGTCGCCACGGCCGGGTACCTACCCGAGGGTATTGCCAGGTCGCTGCCCTGAGCACCCGCAGGTACCTGCAAGGGCGCTTCCCCGGGCCACCCGCAGCACCTGCAGGTACCTACCAGAACGCTTCACTGACAGCAACAGCAACAATAACAATGCAGTCATGCCCCCGAGGATGCGTAGGGCCTTGTATTCCCATCCACGGGAGCTCTCCGAATGAGGCCTCGTTGGAGGTCATATGGAAGCTCTATCTAAGACGTCTACGGCGAATCACCGCCGCCCCCTGCCTTTTCGGAAGCGCCTATGTGGCCGATCGTTGAGGCCAGACCTGCCAAGCTATCGGACCATGTGTTCCCCGAATCGGTTTGGAAAGCCTTCGGGGAACACGTGGGGAAGGTCATCTTGGCCGTCTGGAGGCAATTTTTTGACCCTTTCGGGCCTTCTTGGAGGACGTCTTGGAGGGCTCTTGGACCGTCTTGGATGCCATCTTGAGCGTCTTGGAGACCTCTTGGGCCGTCTTGGGGGCCTCTTGGGGCCGTGTCTTGGGCCTCTTGGGCGATCTTTGGGGGCACTTGGGCCGTCTCGGGCCGTCGAAAAAGCAAATGCCACAAGCGGCGTAGGGTACTTTCCACGCTTATTAATCAAAAACTCTAGTAATGTGGTGTTCGGTAGCAAACCGTGGGAACTTCGCGTGTAATGTGTCGTAACCACCCCAAAGCGTGCGCTAGCGGTTGGTTATGACAAAGCGCCAATCCATCATCGATGAGCAAAAAGTTGGCGCCGACCAGCGTCGACCAGCATCGACTAGCATCTTTCAGCACCGACTCGCGGGAACCGGCCAGACGGCATGGGAGGCTCCCGTGGGGTTGTCACAGAGGGTGGTGATGTGGTCCTTTAGAAAGCCACCCCCTCCGACCCCCACCCCTCCTGGCGACGTGTCCCCGCGCGCGCCGCCGACGGGGTCCGCGGGGCAGCGGCGCTGGCGCTTCCCCAGACACATCGACTGTGCGGATGCCCCGCGCGGAATGCACCCATGCGACCGCGTATCCATGGGATCGCGTTCCGGAGTCCAGCCCGCCAGGGCGAATCCGCCGGCACCCCCGGAACGCTCTCGACGAGGCGCAGTTGAGGGACACCGCCCAGGATCTCGGCAGCGTTCCACGAGTTTCGACCACCTTCGCCGTTCGTGAGGCGACGACCAGCACGACGACGACCTCCACGACCCTCGCCACGACGAACACCACACACGTGACCACCGTCGGGGCTTGGGGGTTTCAGCACCCCTTCCAGGCAAGTGATGCCGCGGCCTGGCCCTGGACGGGCGGAGCGGCGGGCGCGTGAGAGCAGCTGCCCTGCCCCCCCGGCAGGGCCTTGGCCCCCCGGTGGTCGTGCGAGCCCCCGTGCTCGTGCGCGGGTGCCTCACTCCCGCGCCCCTGCCCCTGCTCCGCACGGTGCCGCCGTGGGCTCGAGGTCTGACTTCCGGAGCAGAGGCTGAAGCCGGGCATCGGTATCGTTAAGTCGAGCTTGTTCCTATTACAGGGGAAGTATCCACAAATCGTCAAAACATAGTCTCAGGACCATTTTTGAAAGTGTTCTGACCATGTCGGACTATTTTTCGTATTTTTTGGCTTTCGTCGAAAATACCCCTGTAGCGGGACACGCCCGACCTAACCGTATCGTTCAACCGATCCCCAGCCCCATCCCCTATTTCCTTCGAGACCCCACACCAAACTACCACCCCAGCTGGGGATACACTCCTCGAAACCCGAAGGGAACGATCGGGGTAAGTCGGTTAGTGGGGCCCAGGCCACGCCGCTGGGGATAGGGATCGGTTGAACGATACTCAGGGCATTTCCCCCAGCTGGAGGATTTTTGTTAGAATTGTAAACGTAGTTTCAGGACGATGTTTTGAGCATGTCTGAGCATATGTGTTGCGCACTGCTTGACTCTTTTTTTAATGCTCGCCCAAAGTCTGCCTGCAGGGGACACGCCCGACCCCAGCAACCGACGGCACAAACAGAAACCGTTGACGGTCCGCGCAGATTCCTTGGATCGGCGCTGGCCCCCCCTCCCCCTCTGGCGCCGCCTTCGGCGCCGCCCCCTGGCGCGCTCCGCGCGCCAGGGAGGGCGGCCCCGCGGACCTCCGAGAAAGGTCGGGAGGGGGAAACACACACAAGGAATCGTCGATTCCCAGGACAATATGGGAACATGTGGGAAGCGGGGTGGAAAACGAAAACCCAGAACATATGGGGAAGCATGCGAAATCCTGTTATGTGTGCCTGCTTATGTGGGTGTCCCAGGGCCCCTGCAAGAGCATGGCTGTGCATGCTTATTCTTCCTGCATGCCCGCCCCTCCCCTGCCCTTCCCCCCTGCTCCGCACACTTGTCGCCCTGGCGCCGCTGCCGCACCCGCCCCAGGCATCAGCGCGGGCCTCCGAACGTGTATGTGAATGCCGTTTTTTGTTCGGAGGTCGGTAGACCTTCTCCCCTGGCACGTCGACTTGCGAGTTGGCCCTTTTCGGTTCGCGAGAGGGCGTCGCGGCCGTCATGTTTGCGGCTCCAGGTCCGTCGGTTTTGTTCCCAGGCCGTTTTCACTAAAGCGTGGTTTGCTAAAGGGAGGTTTGTCCACCGCCGAATTCTTTTCCCCCGAACATGCGCCAGACAAACAATGTGTTCGATGTCGCGCGGGTTCTATGTATCTCCGCGGGGCCCCCTCTGGCGGTCTCTCCAGCGCCGCCCATGGCGCGCTTCGCGCGCCAGGGAGGGGGGGGGTTAGCGCAGAGCCAAGAGATCCGCGCAGGCCGTCGACTGTTTATGCTTATGCTCGTGCAGTGTTGCCACTCTCTCTCTCTCTCACTCTCTCTCTCTCTCGTTCTCTATCTCGTTCTCTCTCTCTCTCTTTTGTTGCCTCTCTCTCTCTCTCTCCTTTTTCCACCATCGTATAACGTGTTTGTTTGTTCTTGTTTGTTCTCTCTCTCTCTCTCTCTGCTTTGTTTTCCTCTCTTTCTCTCTATCTATATATACATCTACTATGTATAGATGCACCCCGCGTTGCCGTCTGGGCTCGATGGGCATGTCTGAGGCTCACGGCTCGGCCCTGTGAGCATGGAGGGGAAGAGGTCATCATCGATCACATCTTTCGGGCTGCTCGGGTGGGGGGATGAGGATCCCTGGCCCAGTTTCCCCCGCTCCTCTTACGCGGGCCTCCTGGGGGCGGTGCATGCTGGCCTCGGCAAGCCCCCTATCGGGCATTCGGGGGTGGCCTCGGCGCCCAGCCTTCAGAGGCTCGAGACCATCGAGTCCGCGTCGTGTTCGGCGCTTTCGCTCTCCCGAGGCCTCTTTCGGGCCCTCGGGCCGTGAAAGAGCAGCTCGGGATGGAGTGCTTGCCAGCGTGGATCCCAGACTATGTGTTCTTGCACGCTCGACGTGCAGTCTTTGTGATGCACCCTGTGCATGCTGCAGTAGATGTGTTGCAACCCAGACGGTGCAACCGATGTGGTGCAGCCTGTGCGGTACGAGCTATATGTTGCAAGCCATATCTTTGAATCGCTGCCGTGCAATTTATGCGGTGCAGTCTTGGTGCAATACGCATGGTGCAGTTTGGGTGGTTCAAAGTGCGCACGCCTCTCCGTCCTGTGTTGCTGCGAGCGCATGCAAGTGCTGTCGCGGCTGGAGAGATGCACCAGCCAGTGCCAAGCACTCATCGCAGTCGCCGCCGCTTGGGGTTTGATGTTTGCGCGAGTAGTGGGGTGGGTAATTTCAAGTTGAGCATTGGTGCATAGCACCGCGTAGATTCTTCTTTCTACAAAGGAACTAGACTCGACCCCCTCCTCGGGATTATCGACCCACCTTTTCATCTTGCACTTTGCATATGGTTGTCCTACCGTCCATCCTAACTATAAGTTCTTACCATGCCAGCCGAGCCGGTATCCGCCCCCTCCGCGCCATCCTCTGCAACAAATGTTTTGCGCGCGCATTCGTTTACCAGCAATCACTAGTTTTCAAAAATCCCTTGCAACAGAACAACGAGACGAAGTGCACGCGCGCGCGTCGTCGCGCGCGCATGCCGAAATCCTTGAAGCATTGTAGGTTTTGTTAGGGATTAAAAACCGAGTGTCCAAATAACATAAACAACACGGGTTTTCGCAACATGAATGTTCTAAAAGTTTGCGCGCGCTCATCTGTTTTTCATCATGTCCAGGAAATGTTGCAAAACGAGCTTCGCGCGCGAATGTCGGAGTCGTTCGAACGCCCTCGCGCGCGTGCCGTCGCGAGAATCTTTTGCACAAGAATGTGACGACGTGCGCGCGCGCGTCGTCGCGCTCGCATGCCGAAATACGAAAAAACGTTCGGCTTCGCACCGATTTCACAACCGAGTGTCCAACAACCTTTCTTAACATCCAGTGTGTGTGTACATATGTATATATATATAAACAAAAACAGGGTTTCGCAACACCAGTTTTTTTGTTTTTTTCACATATATATATATATATATATATATATCTAACGTGCGCTCGCTCTTTTGCGCATTCTCAAGAGAACCAGGTGTTTCTTAACCATTTCATGGAATTCTGCCAAACGGGCCCAAACGGGCCTCTGGCGCCGCATGCCGACATCATTCGCACGCCCTTGCGCGCGTGTTTTTTTTTGGGGGGGGGCACGATCCGTGTCAAATGATACTATGCGGGCCACTCACGCG